TCTGAGAACACTTTTTAGTAAGATACTTAAGAAGGACTTGGTGTGTTCTGCCCAAGAGCTCAGACTTTCCTCGTGCAGAGCAACAACCTTGATGCAAGCAGAATAAAAAATGAAAAGTAGGTAGCTGCTGGCTGGAAGCCCTTGCAGATTGTAAGGCATCCACCCAAATCTTGACTCGAGCATGTTACCTCCCTGCACATCAGAAGTGAGAGTGCAGGTACCTGAAGGGGCCAAATGACTGATCTTTCATCACACTACACATTAAAGGAACTCCAGAATTTGACTATTGCTGTGCCATCAGGGTATGTACAAGTGAGGTGGTTGGAGAGCACCCACCCCTCCAGACGATCAGTCCCACTGCGTGTCAGAGGACGGCTGCACAAGGAGGGAGCCAACCAACAACCTACAACTGCCAAGCTGCTGGGGCTGCGAGTGGCGACTGCGCTTCCGGCTGGGGCAGTGCCACTGAAAGGGGATCCCCACTTCTGATAAGCACTGGGAGCAGGGAAACAATAGGTGATTTGATGAGAGCTGCTCTACGATACTCCTGAGAAGCCCCACAGTCAGCACTGGCCAAAGAGGAAACGGGGAGTTTCCACAGCAACCTGCTCAGGGCACAAAGGCCCAACTGTCTAGGGAGAAGCAATGGAGGTGGCTCAGCACTCCTGTTTTAAGAAGGAACAGGGGTGGAAGGCTGGAGTCTTTCTGAAGTCAGAGTACCTGCAAGATCATTTCTGTACAGCAGGAGTTTAATTGTGTATCAGTCCAATAAGCAGGGAGGAGCAGTGCTGGAGGAGGAGGAAGTAGTTACTGCAGACTTCAGCCTAGCTAAAAGATAAAGGGGAAAAAAAAACTGCAAAAAATGCTTTGCCCTTGGGTCCCTAATCTTACTAACACAGTCCATGACACAGAGAGAAAGAATAGCCAAGCTGTCTGTAACAGAGGTAAGAAAGTCATCTCTTGGGCATGTAGGACTGAGATGAAAGAGGAAGTGGGAGGGGAAAAAAACCCAAACACATTTAACTTCAAATGGAGAGATTTATAATTTATTTACACAAATACTAAACAAAATTAGAAACACCTCTGGAAAAGAAAAACCAAAAATGGTGGCCAAAGTCTGATCAGTCTGTGATAATTAATTCATCCACACCCCAGTCTTCATAGCTCCCATCTGGCAGGTAACGACGGATGATTATGGGGATCTTGCGTGCTCTGAAGGGAAGACAGAGAGATGAACAGAAATATCAGAGCCTTCACTGTATCACTTTAGCAGGCAATGGGAACTGAGGTGCTTGGTGGATTCAGTAAGCTCATCATATTTAACTGAGAGGTGTGTAGCACCAGTGATTTGATATGATATAGTGAAGTCCCAACGACCTTCTGTCTTTTGGAAGTGCAGTGCACTGAACACCCTTAGACTATAAACACCAAAGACCTACAGGTCAGACCTCTGTTGCCAGTGCAGGAATTGAGCCCTGTGATCTGAACCCACTATGAGACAACATCAAGCATCTAACACTGATACAGGGGGAAGAAAAATAAATCAAGGGACTTGAACAAATCCACGTTTTGTTTGATGGAAGATTTTTCCCCACATGACACTACAAAAGTGGCAGAATTCTGAGAACTTCCAGGACAAACTGATATTTACAGAGAATTTTGCATCCTGAGAGCACCAGCTACATTTTAAGGAGACATGAAATAGGGACTATTCAGGTACCAAACCCTGTTAAAGTTGGGGTGGAGCAGAGCACCTGCTAAGGGTGCTTCCAATTAGAAATCAAGAAAATATTGAACACAATGTAACTTAAGGGAAGTAGATTAAAGTCAGCAAAATGTAATCAGTGTGGAATCTAACCAGGTTGAAACCATCAGGTTTCAGCTGGAAAGGTAATGCAACTTCTTTACATTCAGGGACACTGTTTTTCCAGTAGCAAAGTAGCTCCAATGTTCCAAGACTTACATCTGAATTTTGGCATAGAACAGGATGCCACCACACTTTGTCACACCCTGACTTATTTTCCAGAGCTCACGCTCAGGCAGTGACCAGAAGCAAATCAGTCTGAGCTTGGAGATCTGACGGGAACATGACCTAAGGAGCTTCTGGCAATGACAAAGGGAGCTGTAATAGACATAAAATCTGCAAGAGCAATTTCAATACACTGAGAAACTGGGGGAGCAGAGGGACCATTTAGTTCAAGGACAGGGACCTACTCAGTAACGGAGTCCAGTTGCTTGCAGGATACCTGCATGTGATACAGATCACTGACTGTGCAGGCAAACTGTGGGACAGCAGGGAGATCTGCAGTGGAAAAGTGGGCCTGCAAGTGGTCATCCAGAAGCTGCCTCTGCTACAGTCAGAAAGGATTTAGTTACCTTTCTGTAAGCAGGGGCCAAACACAATAAGCCAAGCGTGCAAGGGTGCAGGAAACAAACATTCTCACCAGACTGACTCTTATTTTAATTATTACCAGGACTTCATTTGAACACAGGTCTGTTCAGATGGCTGCTTTGAAACAATTCCATTTGGGGAATTAAACTGAATCCAGAAAGATGAGGACCATGAGTTCCCACCACAGAAATAAAGAACACCTTGGACTGTGAAGTAGAAAAGGTCCAGAGCACTCCTAATCATCAGTATTTACACAAGCAACTAGGATGGAAGAGAGCAGCTGTGGAGAAACTCCAAGGTGAAAAAAGGGGAGGGCAACTGTAGAGTTCACTGTTATTGAAGGAAGACAAAATTATCTTGGAATAAACTGCTAAATGCTGGGATGAGGAGAGGATTTCTGACTTTATGGGAATCAATACACTCACCACCAAATCTGTGACTTACTTGAGTTCTTTCATGGCAATCAGCAAGGGGTCTGTCTCTCCTTCCAGCTCAACCATCACAGGGGCACACATCCTGGGAAGAACATCAACAACCACTTAAGTAAACATACAGAGAAAGAAAAGGGACAGCTAAACATCTGCCTGCCTATGTCACCTCTACAATGGCCAATAAGGTAGGAAGGTGGGACTGGCAAAACTGATTTGCTCTGTTACACACTTCAGTAAGAAAATTCTCCCTGCTGGCTACAGAAAGAACTTTTACTTGAATGTTCTTCTTGTCCCATCCCTCAGCCTCTGCTGACCAGCTCCTGCTCAAGGATGGTCAAACTCACACTCATCTCGTTGCCCTCTGCTGTGCTTAAACATGAGGAAAAGACCAGTTCTACAACTAATCCAATGGAAAGGGTGGAACTGCTGGATATTGAGCGCACCTCCTGCAACTCCAGCACATCTCTTATGTTCTGACTTGCTCACAGCTTCCAGGCTTCGATCAGGGGAAGAGAGGAGGTGGATTTACAACATACTTTACCTCTAGGAAGCCAAAAATGTAGCATTTCGCAATGGATTGTGATGACACCCATCTACTGGGCAGTGGCAGCAGAGAAAGCTCACGTTATATGTGGGTGAGGCCATGGGGGCTGCTCGCCTGGGTTTGGCACCAAGATGCAGGTGAAGTAGAACCAGGTGGCAGAGTGTTGTGGATTAAAGGCCTGGCATGGTCCCATCTCAGCTCCCCCCATCTTTCTGGCCTTCTGCCACTAGAAAGAAGGTGCACAAAACAGGTTCACAGAGCAGAGGCTATGCAGAGAACAGCTTGGAAAAGTGATAAGGAAAGCTCTGACCACTACCTGAGAGCTTCTAAACGATGCAGAACAGAGGCCTCATTTCAAGGGTGGATATAACCAAGATGAAACTCAAAACTTTGTCACTGTCTAACAATCTAATTCAAAATGCAGTTTTTCCAAAAGCACAAAACTTTTTCATATTTATTATTATAACAAATCTAAACAGGAAAGCGGATTGAGTGTAGCAAGCCTTGACAGCACTTAAAATAGGTTCTAAATGTTATTACCTGTTATAAATGAGGCCTTATTATTGCAAGTACTTTAAAAAACTTACAGCTTGCCACAACACAACTGCCCTTAAAATGGATTTCAGGTCGGTTTCTCCTCTCCCAATTCCTACAGCCTGGTGGTATAAACTGAAGACATTTCAGAGCATCCCGCTCTCCAACTGGCTTTTGCAAACCAGTTATGAGCTTTCCAGTCCACACTGGCTCTCTCAAGAAAGACAGAAACCAGAATCGGCATATCCCATTCTGTACTAATTTTTGCCTGTGACCTAGGAAAATTCACAGGGGCTATTAAATGCTCCCCCTCTCTAGGCACAAGTAGCACAGACTCAGCCAAGGAGAGACACAGAGACTTCGGGTGCAACCAAGAGCTCCACGGTCCTGGACTTCAGTGTTGACCAAGAGGACGACATGCAAACTCAGCAGCCACGCAAAGGATCCAGGAGTTTTTAAGGGAAGAGGAAAGCACGTTTCAGTGCAAAGGGCGGTGCAGCTGCGGCGGCGGTGGGGACGCAGCGAGCAGTACTCACGCTATCTGGAGCGCACGAGTGCCCAGGACCCTGGCTCGCTCGTACTTGGTCATGTAGGGTGTTGTAATCCGCTTCTGGTTCGCCTGCTGCCTCTCTCCCGAGGGCAGGATTTCCACGTTCTCCTGTCCCTCCTGGCAGAAAGCAGATCGGCACCGCAGCTCAGCTGCGCCCGCCGCCGAGGCCCTGAGGTCCCGGGAGGGCCCCCGGGGCTTCCCCAGCACCGGCCCAGCGGGACCGGCAGAGCCGCGGGGCACTCACCTCCTCCGCGTTCTCCAGGTCCTCCAGGCCCTCATCCTCCTCCACATCGTCGAAGTCGTCGCCATCAAAGCTGCGGGGGAGACACGAACGTCACAGGCAGGGCCGCCGCCTCCCTCCGACCCGGCCCGACCCTCCCCGAAGCGAGACACGCCGCTGCCGCCCCCCGCTCAGTGCCCCCGGCCGCCCGGCTCTCACTTGTCTTCGTTGTCAGACATGTTGCCCGCCCGGCGGAACTGGGAGGCACTTCCAGGAGCCAATTCCGGGCGCTGCCGTGACGCCGCCGGAACCCATCCGCTGCCGTTGCCATGGCGACCGCCGCCGCGTCCCGGCCGCCACCCCGGCCACGCCGCTCGCCGCCCGTCGCGATGGAGGCGCTGGGGACCCCGGGCCGCAGCGGGGGCTCGGGGGCGGGCAGGCGGGCCCCGTACAGCCCGGGCACCCGGGACCTGCTGAGAGGTAACGGCGGAGCGGGACCCCTCCGTGTCCCCGTGCTCCGGCCCGCCGCGCCTCACCCGAAGGAGAGCGTCCCACCGCGGTCCGGGAACCGGGCGGGCCCGTCGCTGGTGTCGCCACCCCGGCTGGAGCCTCCTAAACCCGCATGTTCCCCACTGGGTTCGGGTCGTGACGGGGGGTGGCCCCGGGGCGGGTTCCCCAGCCCGGCCCCGCTGCTTTTTCACGCACACGTCGTGTTTTTCAGCGATGATGGAGGAGCTGAAGCTGACGCATTCCCAGAGGCGATACCTGATGGACTATGTGAAACGTGAGTGAGGCGCCCGGGCTCTCCCGACCACTGCTGTGCTGGTGCTGAAGGAAGAGCTTTTGCTGCTCACCTTGAAACGGGGCCGTTCGTCCACAGCCTGCTTGGATGAGCAAGTGCTTTAAAACAGCAGCACGGCAGCTGCTGACACACTGGAATGTGAGGGGTGAGGTGTCCCTGAGGGTCAACCAGGAAACAAGGCACAACAAGGTGACTTGAACCACAGTCTGTCTCATGTCAACACGTACCAATGACCAGGGTGAGACATCTGTGGCATCTGGAGTCTGCTTGTGTTGCTACAGTAGATCAACAGGCACATCTGCTGGGAATAGGCCAGGATCCCTATGATCCCTTCTGTCTCATTCACTGTTATTTTTGGTTTGTTCCCCAGGAGGAAATGCCCTGCCCCTCCAGTGGCCCCCCACATCCAACAAACAGCCAGTGCCTGCTTTCCCCCCACCAACCAGTCAGCCATGCAGGCTTCCAGCTAGACCACATCTCCGACCTGCCAAGGTGTGCCAGGCAGGAGATGCCTACACCCGAGAGAAGTTCAAGCCACAGCCCACACGTAAGTTGGCAAACTTTGCTGATAAATACATGGTGACTCCTGGACTCTCTCTTCCCCTTCTGTTCATCCCCTGCCTGCAGTCTCAGTAGTGGCAGGAGGTATCTGAATTGCTTCATGTCTTCACACTTTCAGTCTTCAGAAACGCTTTAGAAATGGATCTCTGAGGGAACATCTACTTTAAGTGCTTGCTGACTTCTGCCCCCCAGCTCAGGGTGGGGACAGGCAATTGGGACCTGCACAGTCCTTGAGTAAGAAGCAAGCACTGTATGACTTTCTAGCACATAAGCGTGAATCAAACCTCTGATGTCACTCTGATTGGCTCTGTCCACCTGTGTGGTGTTTGCACAGTTCAGTCCTGGGATGGACTGTTGTTAATGTAACATTTCCTCTGTCACCCTTAGCAGGGAAGTGGCGAAGCCAGGCTCCTCCCTGAGGACACAGGCTGATAACAAATTCCTTTCCCTTGGCATTCACAGGAGATTTGGAAAAGGAGAAGCAAAGACTTCAAAACATCTTAGCAACAGGGAAGGATGAGGTGGAGGATGAGGTGAAGCGGGTGCCGATTCGGACAAAGGAAGAGGAGATACCTGAGCCTGATCGGTTTGAAGAATGTAGGTCTTTACACCCCCCTGGAGGGAGCAGGCGGGAAGCCTGGGAAGCCAGCTCCCTCCAAGGGCTGGGGGGGCAGGCTGTGTTGCCAGTAACCTGAAGCCCATTGCAGAAGGAGGCACAAAGCCCAGTTTCCAAGAGAAAGGACTTGCTGCTGTGCTGCTGTGATCCAGCCATCCTTGCAGAGCTTATACTGCCTAGGTTTCTTGGCAGATTAAAGCTCCCTGGGCTGCCTGCACAAAATGAACTCTGCCAGCAGGGGAATACCCTAGGGATGTGCAGGGTGACGTGGGCAGCAAGCCCAGGTACTGTAGGTCCTTTCCCCAGCAACGTAACTCGGCATAGATTAGGTCACTTTCCAGCCTGACCATGGTTTGGGCTGTTTCACTCTAGGATCACAGCAGTTACACTAGCAAAGCTTAAATGCTGAGCAAAATTTTAAGCAGTAAAAAACTTTGGCCTGCAGAGTATTCTGGGATAGCAGAACCCTGCCTAATACCTCTTCAGTATGTGTGTACACCCAGCCAGCCCTTCGCTAGCCAGGACAGCACAAAGATGGGCCACACCAGAATAATGTGTTCAGAAGGGGTGCTTTGGTCCCTGCTGCAGGGAGCCAGTGCAACTGGCATCACACGTGCTTGGTATCCTCCAAAACTTGTCACAAGCTGAGTGTTGTCCTTGGCACATCTGTGTCAGGATTTGGACCGACTGGCTGCAGGTCTGTCCTGCAAAGCAGCAGCTAATGTTCCGTGCCTGGTCCTGGGAGCAGAGATGGTTGAGATAACTGGGTGATATGTGTCAACTAATGAACCTCAACTGCAGGTTATTTCTCCAACTACAGACTGGTTAAATTGCCCACAAGCAACAGAGAATTGTCTGTCCAAAGAAACCTACCATTCCTGGAAGTTGGGGAGCAGTAAGAAGTTGGGCAAAGGGGACATTTCCCATTGTGGAAGGGACTACTGGGGTATTGTGAAGATCTACAAAATGAGTGTTAAGAACATCATCCTGCCTCTGGTGGGACTGCTGTTCAAGCAGAGCTAGGAAATTGGTTCAGAACGAGACAGAAACATGTTTTCTTGCCTTTTGGCTGCATCCTGTTTTCACAGTTCTTTCTCTTATCCATTAGTGGTGAATGAAATTCAGGACAGGAGAGAATTCCTGGCGCAGATGGAAGCTCTAGGACAGGACAAGGAGTATAAAAGGATTGTCCTTGCTGAAATCTCACAGGTACGCAAGGGCCTTGTCTGTATAGTAAGTGGAGGGAATGCCTTGTGTCAGAGATCATAAAGCGGAGACCTCCGGTATCTGAGTACGGAAGGGGGCAGAGAGCTGTTTGCCTTCATGACACAGCCAGGCGTGAATTTGGGGAATGGTGGGTAGAGGTTTTTCAGCCTTTCTTTTTATCTCTGCATGTAACTCAATCAGGGAAATTGAACTTTTGTTCTTGAGATTGGTAAAAGAAGATAAAAAAAAAGCTGCTGGCTTTCTCCCTGCTCAGCCCTTTCCCTTTGTACTTTGCAGAAAATGCATGAGATGGAGATCATTGACAAGAAGAGAAGTGAGGAAATTAGAAAGATGATGACAAAAGACTTCCCTGGTGGGAACAAATCTGATCTCCACGACTAGTCTAAGGACAAAACACAAGTGCAGTTTGTTCCCACCTCTTCTTCCCAGACTCTTGACATCAGAGTCTCAAGGACTGATCTGTTCCCAAAGAGGGGGCAGCACCATCTGTTGCCCAGCGGGCAGGACCAATTTGTACATAAATGGCGACAGAAGTTGTTGTAAAATCCTACCCACATACCGGATCCCCTCTTGCTCAACAATATTAAACACATGGCAATCAAAACATGACAAAGCAGAGCCTCCTTTGCCTATGCTATGCCTCAGTACAGCAATCCACCCATAGAAATGTCCCTCCTTCCCACCTACCCAGAGGTGGACATTTTTCGTGACAGCATGATGCTAACACACACACTGCCACCCATACCTTCAGCCCACTCACTCCTGTCCCTCCTGACTCAGGGAACAACTTAGGGAATGGCTCTGCTGGCAGAAGGCAGGGAGGAGGATGCAGCTGTGTGGCCCTGCGCGAGCACGAGCCCCCCCGACGTTGCTGTAGGTTGGTGTGACTGTGCATCAGCAATCCTCTGGCAGCAGCTGAGCTGGGCAGTCACTCAGGAACACAGCTGTGCTGAGCAGGGAGAGGGGATTTCAGAGCAGCGCCTGCCGCTCTTGGATGTGGGTTTGCTGTGTTTTTTTGGTTCCTGAAAGCATGGTATGCAGAATAGCCAGCAGCTTCGCACACATTACCCTGTTGGAAATGGCTGCTTGCTCACCTCAGACATAACCACACCTTTGTACTCCAGCAGGCTGAAGCATGATGCCCTGCTTTTCCTGTGCAAATCCCAGCATAAAGTCCAGTTTCTGATTTCCTTAAGATCCCATCCTCTGCTTCTAAGCAATACCCTTGTCAGCCACTCACCAAAGCCAAGCAGCATGCCCTGTCCAACATGACTACACAAAGGAATCAAAAACCTAAGCCAGGATCATTTTTTAAATCCAATGTTTCTTTTATTTTTGTTCAGGTGAATGGAAGTCATGGAATTAGTACAGTATAATTTACAAGTCTATCTTCTGACTGGGCGTGGGGCCAAGGGGTGTCGGGCTGCAGTGATCCCAATGGCCTTTGGCAACAGTGACATGACAGCAGGCTTTAAAGCAGGTTTGTTTCTCCTTGGAGAAGAGTTGTGCTTTGGGATCTCCCCTCCCCTACCACTGCTCCTCATCAGCCTGCGGGGGTAGGGAAGGGTGAGATGGCATCACCAGCGCAGGGCTGAGCTGGCCAACTCCCAGCCACGGGGGCCACACTGGGACTGAGGAGGGGCTTGGGTCCCTCTGGTTTTGGGAAATGAGGATCCCTTTCCAGAATGCTATGCCAGCCACCTTGCAAGGCACTGCTCCGAGAGCATTTTGGCTAAAGCCTGTTGGGTTTTTAGAAGGGACTGCAGCAGATGGCTCAGGGCTGGTTATGTCTAATTTGCTAATGAGAAGGCATGATGAACAGCTGACCAACCAAACACCCATGAAACTCTACTTCTGGCTGATCCAACAATTCAATAAATAATTCTCCTTGCCTAGAGAAGGCAGGAAACAAAAATGGAAGGAAGAAGGGATGGTTGGAAGAACACCGCCCCCCATTCCCTCTTCCAATGTACACACACACACACACATAACAAATAAAATAAGGGATTTAAAGTTTTAGGATGGGTTTGAATTCATCTTGTAAAGGAGGTGTAAAAAATAACCAGCCAACCCCTGCACACTTTTAAAGTATACACAGACAAAGCTGGGTAAAGGTCAGTTGTGACCACGCCTCTCTCCCAAGCCGCTCAAGGGTGGCACTGGTGAGCAGGGACACAGCCTAGTGCCCCTTGCCAGCGCTGAGTCAGTCTTGAGCTTTTCTGTCCTTGCCCAGAAAAGGGACGTTCCTCCCTCCCCAGGAAGGCAGCAGTGGTGTTTAGCAGCAGTGGGGGTCCTGAGTAGGGCGTGTGCGCTACATCCCAGCAGCTGTACACTGTCCCCTTGGGTCCTCTCAGCCTTTGTGACAGAGCCCACCCAGCCCTGGCGCTTGAGGGAGGGGACAGCTCAAAATAAATAGGGCATCAGTTATTTTTTTGGCTATGGCTCTAGAGCCTTGTGACACGGGAGTGTTTTCTTAACCTTTTAGTTTAGGCCAGTAAAACCCAAAGAATCCTGATTCTAATGTCAGAGTTTTCTCCCGAAGTTACAAATGGGACAGAAAGGGCACAAGAGCAGGCAGGTAGGAAGGGACAGGGAGGCTCAGTCCCCTCCTGGCAGAAGTCAGAGGCACGTGGAACTGTCACAGTTAGAGCAGGAGAAAGGACGGGGTGCAGTTAGTGCAAGTTTTCCCACAAACACGAAACTCCTTAGCTTGCTTCTCAGTTAATGACAAGAACGCGCAATGGGGTAACGTATCTGAGAAGCAAATCCATCTTCTCCCCACCTCGTTAGCAAGGCTTCATGGAGGGGATGGCCATGCCCCTCTGCAGCCTTGGGAAGGGGAGCGCTTTGGTCAGACTCCCCCACTCTGGGCTGAGGGCTGGCATCTCCCTGGGGAGGGAGCAGGGGGGAGAGGCAAGCCAGCTGTGGGAGAGGCCAGGGCCGTCTGGCAAGCACTTCCCTCCCACTGCTGGTGTTCCCCTGCTCTAGCTTTTCTCCTTGGGTGACTTGCTCTTGGAGTCATGCTTGTTGCCCAGCAGCTTAAGCACCTTCATGGGCTTGAATTTGCCTTTCTTCTTGCTCTCAGTCTCCGTCTCCCTGTGAAATTCTGGGATTGCAAAGGGAGGTTGTTACTGTGGGATGTCAGTGGTGGTACAGACACATGCATGACAACAGGGTCAAGAGTGAGAGCCACGAATCAAAGGCTTCCACTGTATGCACACTTCTTTCTCTGATAGCAGTGGGGAGCAGCACAACTGTGCCTTGAACTTTAGTGGCCCTACAGGAAATGTTACCGAGTTTACAGAGAATAGATTCAATCTCTCCTGCACACAATTTCACAAATGGCTCGTGTTGCCTCTTGCTGGGGTCAGCAATGAAAACACCACTCCAAAAATCTTCCGAATTGTTTCTTACCTTTCCTTTTAATCATGGCTTCTAACATTTTATCCTCCTCCTCTTCTCTGAAAGAAAGAATGGGAAAGAGTTCAGCAATTCAGTCCTGAAAACAGCTGCTGTATTGTTAAAGGCTAGAGAGCCTCCTACTTAGAAGCCAGAGAGGGTAGATCGATCACTGTCTTGTGAGCATTTGCTACCAGCAGGTTAAATCTCACATGCTGCACTTACTGTCCTGTCTTTCCCACACAAAGCATTCAAAGAGACAAATATTAGGAAGCCTGCGAAAGACATCAGCAACATGGACATCTTGGGACACCCCCACAAGTTGCTCATGTGGTGCTGAGTCAGATGGGCTATGCTTTTCCCTTCTCCCCCAGCCGATCCTACTCCTCACTCACCTCTGCCGGTCCTCGTCCAGGCAATTCACAATGGCATTCCTCTGCTCAATGATGGTCACCAGCTCCTGCATCAGCACCTTCTCCCTCCCTCGGTCCTCATCAGTCCAGTCCTTCTCTGCCCCCCCAAACCCCAAGGAAGGACAGGCAATTAAAGGGCTGAAGGAGTGCTGAAATTCAGAGCTTCAGAGCAGAGATCCCCAGCATGATCCCCTCTACCCTGCCATGTTGTAGAGCCAGTTGAGCTGACAGTGCTTTGGGGACAGAGCCCTGCATGTGGCATCCCACTGGGACAAAAGGATGCACATCCCTGCACAAGGCTGGGGCACACAAGGAGAAGTGGCTCTAGACCCAGCTGATTGTGCTGGCATCCCTACAGATCTGCCTCTCTTCACCTGAGACCCGCCTGGACAGAGGGGAGATGATGCCCAGGGGAAAAATGATCCTTGTGGGGTCCCCTCTGACTCAAAAAAAAGGGGTAACCACACCCAGAGCGGTGCTTTACCTGGCTTGTTGAGGAGGCACCGCAGTTCATACTCCACGTCTGACTGCCGCTGCTCCAGGTTCTGCTGCTTGAAGCTGCAAGGGAAGGGGGAACTGTTGGGAACCACTGCAACATTCCAGAAAGGAGAAACATCATCCCAAAGAATGAGCTTGGAAAGAACCACCCAGATGCTGATCTTGTCCTGCATATCCAGGGAGCCAAACATCAGCAAGGACCAGCCCTGGCTGCTCAAGGCCTTTCTGGAGGAGATACTGCAGGGGCTCTGGTGACTTGCTGTGGATCAGTTGAGTATATTTGGACAGATTTGTCTGCTTGCCCTTTCTCCCTCCCTTCTCTAGGCAAGGAGACCCTGTCAGGCTCTCCCTTGGAAACACCATTTCAGAAGGGCTGAGAAAAGGCTCCCCGAAAGAGCGTCAGTGCCTCTCCACACTTGCATACACTCACATGTAGATGAGCTCCGACTCGTGGCGCACTAGCATGTGCTTCTCATGGATGAGTTTGAACCAATCCACAAGCAGGCTGTCCTCAGGGTTGTCTGCCAAGCAAAGGGACAATTCAGAGCCATTCCCAGCCCCGGTGATGGAGCATCCCATCACCCTGCAGCAGGCTGGGCTCTGCCAAGCCAGAGAGGGGTGCTGGGCCTCAGCCAATCCAACCTCATCCTGTTCCTGAGTCCCAGAGAGAGACCTTAGCTTTTCTGCCACATGTTTTAATTCTAGGAACATCTCCATGTCCAGGGTATGGTTGTGACCAATCTTGGAGCCCAGCACATCCTCTTTTGCTCTTCCAACCCCAGCATCAGTAGGGAGGAAGTCACTGCTACAATCTCCTTTGCTGGAGAGAGGGCAGCCCTAAGGTCCATCCTGCCCCCCACCCACAGACAGCCCTCCCCACATACCATTCTCAGCACTGCGAAGCTTTTCCTCCAAAGCCACCCCACGGTGCTCCAACTGGTCCAGCTGATGCTCGATGGCATCCATCTCCCCATAGATGTCTTCTTCAGGGATGTACTGATCTGTCTGCACCTGCCAAACCATAAACCACCAACCTCCAGTTTCCAGGGGTAACTCAAAGGCTGGTCAACACTAACAGGGCCAGAGGAACAACAGAATATTCTACCTAAGGGTAGATCTGAAATCCCCACCCCGCTCTGGAGCAAAGGGAGACCATGGTCCTGCCATGAACAGGGTCTCATCTACACACCATCCTCCCCGGCCACAGCCACCCACTGTATCCCTGCCCACAGATGCATTAGCAGGGTGCACGTATATTGCTACAGCCCTGGGGGGTAGCACAGAGCTGGCTTTTCCCTCCCTGCTCCTAAGGGCCCTTTTACCTTGCGCTTGATCAGTGGGAAGCCATGACCTGGTGCAGGAGGACGCACTGGCTTGGAGCCCTTGGGAGGTTTCTTTGCCGAGGGGGAGGCGGCAGGCGATGGCTTCCGGTTGAAGGGGTTCTCTTTGCAGGAAGACTGGAGAGGAGGGACAAAAGGAGATACATGGGCATCCAGGAAACAGAATGGATACAGCATCTCACCAGCTGTGAATGAGCAGATAGGGCAGACTTAGGGTTTATCCTGCCCCACATCCTCCTAAAGGAGGTACAAAGCACTTGTCTCCACCAGCAGCCAAGCCATGGGGCAAAAAGCCAGCTGTGCTCCTGTTTGGCATCAGTTCCCCAGCTTCTCTCCAACAAGCACGCTGAATTATTTTCCTTCACAGTTCCCTTTCCTATTTGCTCTGACCACATGACATCCTGCTTCTTCTCTAGCACATGGGGCAGGCAGAGTATGAGCAGAGCCACCATTTAACAAACCTGAACCTTGCTTTTAGGGGGTCACGCATCAAACCTACCAAAGGGGAAAGCCCGGAAACACAATCCCCCTGTGACCGAGTGATGGATAGGGAAAAAAAGCCCCCTGATCTCGATGGGAGGAAAGTCACCATCTCACCTTCAGCTGTGGTT